GAGCTATTCCCGCCGTAGCGGTGCGGGTGGGGGGCTCGAGGGGCAGCAGGTCCGTCCCGTCGGTGCCCTGTGGTGCCTGAAGGGCTTCTCCGGCCTCTCAGGGGCGGACGGGCGTCGAGCAGTTGTGGCGTCTTTCCAAGCTGGTAAAGCAGTGACGGCGACGTCACGTCTTAGGGACCTGAATTAATCTAATAAGGCTTTATTTGGCCTTAATATTTGTTTAGGGCAGGTGCAGTATTTGCATAATCGTTCATTCAGCCCGATGTTAATTACTGGGTCTGAAGTGCCCCGCTAATGAGATAACTGCGTGACGACTTCAAGAATGGAGTGGGAGGAAAGCAGGTGTAAAATTAATCAAAGTAAGAGCGTGGACCACATCAAAGCTCCCTCTGTCTACTAAAATGAACTGTCTTAGCATTTGGTTCTCATTACTCTAATTTATTACAAGCTTGTTAACTGCAGTTAACGAATAATGTGTCTTCTATCAGCATGCAATAAAATCAGCAAGCTACACCTAGGAAACCATTAATGCAATTTCAACTTACTTGTGTAATTTTATTAGTACTCTCATGCAGAGTTGCATGTAATGCTTCTTCTTGAAACAATCTGTGGGTATATTCTTCAGTACTATGAAACTGGATGTTTTATTATCAACCCTTGCTGAAGGTCTTCTGTGGGAAAAGCTCTTTGGAAAGTTGCATGTTTTTGTATGTTATGTGCATAATCTCTTGTCTAAGTAGACTATGGAAACTGTATTTGTTTCCTAAAAGTACTTCAGAAAATGTGATGGCTTCTGACTATGCTTGCACTCCAGTCTTTTCTCACAGTTCCTGTCTAAATAGGGACTTTACTGAGAGAATTAAAGATGCATTTTTCAAGCAAAAAATTCAAGATCTTGCAGAAACAAATGTAATGTAATTTGGTTTCTGGAAGTTTTTACTCTATATTATAAGTTTGCAAAAAGTCTTTTCATAATAAGCACATAAAATGTAGAAATAGGAAAACTCTATTTTAACAAAAAATTTAAATGAAGTGGACTCAGTCCATTTCCAGCTACTGTAACAGAGTTCTGACAGAGGTGTGACTAATCTTCAATAGTTTTTTTTTAAAGTAGCATAGTTTATTCAGCAAGTTCCTATTTTATTCTTCTCATAACAATTATTCAAAGTAAGAAATAATAGGTCAGGTTTATTGTTTTTTAATGCAAATTGCTTTCTTTCTCTAGGTTTTTGAAGCATGTGATGAAGACAGCAAAGGCTATTTAAGCAGAGAGGGCTTGAAAGTTGCTGTGGTAATGTTGTTTGGTTATAAATCCTCAAAGGTGTATATTTTTTCATTTATATTCTGAAGATTCAGCTTATATAGATGTCTCATTATTAAGAACTCTGTGTACTGTGTACTGACTGGTCCGCTCTAATTGGAGTGAATTATTGTAGGTTTGGTAAACAGAAATACTTACAGATTCCTAAAGTAATTTTCTTATCTGGGGGTATTTATTTCAAGAGAGCATAGTCAACCCCCTACCTCCTGCTGCAGACTGTGATGAGCAGAAGTATGCATTGTATTTCACACGTGTACAAGATGTATGAAATAAGTGACTTACTGAACTTATTATTGATCATCTATTGGTTTTTATTACTGATTCACTCCATTTCTTTACTCAGGGGTTTCACTAGATGTGAAACTACTGCATGTCCTAATAATAAACATGCATTCTCAAAAATACAGCTATTTTTGGTTTCAAGTAAGTTGGACGTTTTTAGTCCTGACTTCCCTAAAAGTCTACAGCTGTACGAATATCTTAACAAAAGAAAGGTTTACTGAGAGAAATGTGTTGCATACTCAGAGGAAGACACAGGATAAATTATATGGCCTAATGTAGTTCTGGAAGTTACTTTAGTACTGCAAGTGATCTCAAAAGAAGAACACAGAGGTAGGATTTCAAAATAAATACATGTATGGCTATGAGTTTGTCTTTCTCATGGCAGGTCTGTACAAGCTTAACCAATATACTATAAAGTACATTTAGCATAGAAATTACAATACATCTTTATTCTCCAGTTTAAGCAATCTTCTTCCCCAAGGACCATTTGTGACTATTTTTTTTTTTTTTACTTAAATACATATTTTAGGAAAATAGTCTTAACAAGGTCATAAACAAAATCTTGTCTCTGATAATTTACAGTAAAAACCACAGAAATGCTTTATTAAGCTGAAAGTAGTCATCTCTGATAAATTTCAGCTGTGGGTAAACGTTTTCTCAATGAGCTAGGGCCAGATCTAAAAATAATTTAGACTTCTAAAATAGGTCTTAACTGCTCAGTTATGAATCTGAAAATGCTCAGCTGCCCCTTATCTATCTTATCCTGTCTGTTTTTACCTTCATGTAAAATTAGCTGTTCTGTTAAATTCCCTGAATGTTTCTTCCAGTAGGAGTACTCAAAACATGCTTAAGGCATTCAAACAAGTGAGCAGGTTCTGTGCATAAGTCACTGATGGCGCCTGCTTGGAAAGAGAATAGAAGTGGAGGACTCCTGGGAAGAAAGGAGGTGCAGGTTTAGTTATTTCTTCCTGAAAAGGTGCCAAGTCACACCTGCTGTGTCTCTAGGCAGTGCTGCAACCACCTGGCTGTAGACCATTTTGTCTGTGCAGCTGCACAAAAATTAATTAAAAATGTTTGCTCCAGAAGTGATTCTGTCGTCTAGTGGTTTTGCTAGCTCCTTAAGTGGGCCCAGTTCCAGCAACCGTTCCTCTTTACCCGATGACTGCTCATTGTGAAGTACTAGAAGATCCCTGGGTAGGCAGGTACTTTTCTTTGTGGCTTTTGCTAACGTACATTAACTATGGTTTATGGTACAGCTACACCTTTTGCATTTGCTGATGGCAAGGCCTTGTAAGTGTTCCTTTCAACATTTTGGTAGTTTTTAATCTAGTTCTGAGAATCACAAGTGCACCAGATAGGAACCAAATGCAGAAGTTACAATCCTAAAAACTGATTGTTAGGATCCAGTTCCTCAGCATGTTATTGTGCATTGTACTTTGTTGTCAAAATGATTAAAAACAGAGGCTATAGTAACAGTCCTTGTATTTCATCGGAAGTCACTGAGAACAGTCACTTGCCCTGGCAAGGAGTGTGCTTGCAAGAGGTTTTCCAAGAAATAGGGAGCAGTGTGCACACGTTACTTCTTAAGTTAAGGTGAAACTGTTTCCTCAGGTATGCTACATAGTAACAGAAATTTTTCAGTGAAATGAAAATTATTTAGCATCATCAACTGCATTTTTTGGTCGTTTTCACGTTTTCTATAAATTAAAAGTAATACTAACTTTATCCACTAGGTGTCATTAACGAACTCTTTACTGGAGAAGATGGAACCTAAGGCTTTGAATCGCAGTTCTACTCCACTCTCTTTTTCAAAATAATTTGTTATAACAATTCTGTACTATTTTTTATAAAATATTATTTTTGTGTGGTTATTCATAGAGGTTCTGTACTTGCTACAGTTAAAAATTAAGCCTTCTGAGACAAGTAACTGGGAAAACATGAAAATAGAAAGAGATTAACCTGATTGTTGGACTGATAATGCATGTATATTTGATATATATTTATTAGCATATAAAAGTCATCGTTTCTGGGAACTAGCAGCATTTTGCAAATCATGTTTGTGGGACTTACACTTTTTCCTCTGGAAGTTTGGTTCACTGATCCTCTTTTCCCCCAAATTATTTCGACTGATCTAAAGTGCTCTCATATTTCAACAACCATTCAGCTAGCTAACTGCACATTCAGGTGTTAAGTGTTTCAAATGAAAAGGGTACTGCAGGAATAGTAGTCATGAAAATGTGTCGTTTCCTCAGCTGAAATTTCGTTCTTGGTAGTGATACACTTAGATCTAACTAAAAGCACTCCCTACACTGTGCCTGGGAGGCCAGGCCACCCAAAATGTTCGGTGTTTTCCCTGACCCAGCTCCCTGTGTTCACATCAGGACACCAGTAGGTCGGCGTCTGCTGCTGAACAAGATGCCAACAGTAGGGCGCCCTGACATCCAGAGTACAGAAGGGCAGTCTGAGCTCAGGGCCTTGTACAACTTCCAGCTGCTCTTCTGGCACATCTTATCAAAGCTTCCTAAAAGGGATTCTTTAGTCTATTTGTATGCCTGACAGTCTATGGGAAAACTGTTGCAGGGCAAATGGAACATCTAGTCTTGGGTTAACTGGTCACGGCATGTTTGGCTTGTCCATTCTCCACAATGTGCACTAGAAGCTGCTAACATGTCATCTCCTCCCATGTGAGTTGTCTCAGTGCTGCAACTATGTGCAGTCTTGTATTCTAATAACATAGATGCAAGAGTTTGGACTCATGAGCACTCAGTCATGCTAAAAAGCAATATAAATATTATATAAACATAACTGTACAAAGCAGACCTCTGTGCTTTCTTGGATATATACTCCCTTTCTATTCCTTACATTTTTCAAAGGTCTTTTCCAATGATCTCTTGGTTGCCTCCTAATGCAATTCAAAAAAAACATTATTTTTTTTTGTGTTCATCATGTTATTTAGCTTTTTGCTTTTGTACTACGATGAATCTTGGTAACACACTAATGTTAGTAAGTGTTAGTGAATCTTGGTAACATGCTAATCAACATTTGTCAGTCTTGTGTTCTATCAGATAAAATTGTGAGGTAAGATCCTATCAAAGGACAGTAAAGGAGAGACATAATACATAAAACTGGAAATTCTTTCACTGTTTAAAGGAAATAACAAGTTTGGGGGCTGATGCTCCAAAAGTTATTTTTTAATATTACACTTCCTTTGTGTGTAGTTGAACTCCAATCTGTATAAACACGTTTGTTTAAGCATACTTAGTTTAGATTTGGGTATTGATTAGGATTCTATTAGGACTACATACATACTTAGATTACTGGATGAAAAAGAGATAGTTTTATTTTAATTAGAATATAATGTTTTCTTACTTAAATGCCATAGATGATACTGGTGTGTAATATGTATTATTATGATACCAGTATTTGGTGAAATCATATACTATTGATATAAAATGGAAATCACACAGGAGTTCAGATTTACCACTTCTGTGGAAAACCACTGTTAAATATCTTCTATGTTCCAGGTGGAGGTGGATTCAGTAATGTCTTCTGTGAGACCACAAAATTCAGGTAATATGCAAGCATCTACCTGTCAATGATTTCTACTCCTGTTTCATTCATAAATTTAAATAAATCTGAAGCTTAGACTCTCAAGAATTTTGAAGAAACTGATGTAGATTAATGATAACATATGTTATTGTATGAGATTCAACAAGGCCAAGTGCCAGGTCCTGCACTTGGGTCACAACAACCCCTGTGCAATGCTACAGACTTGGGGAAGAGTGGCTGGAAAGCTGCCCAGTGGAAAAGGACCTGGGGGTATTGGTTGACAGCCAGCTGAATATGAGCCAGCAGTGTGCCCAGGTGGCCAAGGCCAACAGCATCCTGGCTTGTATCAGAAATAGTGTGGCCAGCAGGGCTAGGGAAGTGATTGTCCCCCTGTACTTGGCCTTGGTGTCGTTGCTTAACCCCAAGTGGCAACTGGGACCATGCAGCCGTTCACTCACTCCATCCCCCCGCCCTAGTGGGATAGGAGAGGAGAATCGGAAAAAATGGAAAACTCATGGGTTGATGTAAAGACAGTTTAATAAAACACTAACAGCAGAGAAGATAGTAATAACAATAATGATAAAAGAATATGCAAAATGAGTGATGCAATACAATTGCTCACCACCTGATGATCGACTGCCCAGCCCGTCCCAAGCAGCGATCGTGGATTCGTGCCCCCTGGCCAGCTTCCATTTATATACTGAGCATGACGTCTATGGTATGGAGTATTCCTTTGGCCAGCTTACCCTGTCTATGATCCCTCTCAACTTCTATGGGAAGCTGACAAAGACCTTGATTTCATATAAGCATTACCTGGCAACAACTACAACAGTATGTCTTATCAACATTATTCTCAC